CCTATATAGTAAATGAATGAAGAACTATAAAGTTTCAAGAGAAGGCCCCATCAGTAAAATTCATAATAAAAACTATGGGCTCTGTGTTATGTTGACACAGTCCCATAAAAGGTAAAGAGAAAATTGCTACATTTTACAAATCTCATCAGTGGGGTAAGAGACTGGTTGACATCTTTGGACTTTAGGGTAAAGTTATCTCAGTTAAGAATGCTTATGGAGAAATGAGATTCCTACCTGATGAGGCTGTCTCTTTCCTTGCTCTCAGTTCCCCTTTTTCTACATTCTTACTTTTCTTCTCTGTGGTATTTTCTGTCTTTTTTTTTTAACCAAGCTCCAGTTTTTTCCCAGTTTCAGGCTTGGACCAAACAAAAGCTCAGAAATGTAAGAGACCCGAGAGCACACATTGTGGTCTGAGGAACCCAGGAGACCTCTGCTCGAGTTCTGGGTTTCAAGCCACGCTTCTCTGAGCCTGGGATGGGAGGAAAGCAGGTACAGGACTCCAGGACAGTTCAGTCAGAAGGGAGTGCTGCCTGGACCTGCATTCTGCCTGCTTCCACAGGTTCCCAGGGGTCACATGGCTGCTGGGGTTCTTTCTGAGCTGGGTACCCCAGTACATACCACCCTGTTTTTCCATGAGAGCTCAACTGGAGCCAAAGTTTCCAGTCAGCATTCCATAATGTCCTATGTCGCTGAGCATTTGCACCTGCAGAGGTTCCGAGTAGTCTCATTCATGAGGTATCATCATGGTTTCTGATGAAAAATGGTGGTGGGTCTGTTCACACAATAGCCACTCTCTCCATCAATTTCTTGCTGAATTATGATTCTAACACTGGTTCCCAGAACCAGGCAACTTGCCACCTGACACAAAAATATAGATTATAGATATATGCTACTTATAGTCTATTAAAAATACGCTAGTACACACAACCTATTGAACACTATATCTTTTTATTAGTACATATTTGCCATATATAATGATCACATTTGTCATAAGGAATTGTGCCTCTATATAAAGTTTCTCAACTCTTCTCTTTTCATCCATTTCCTTTCCTTACTTCATCCCTTCCTTTCCCTATTTACAAATTTTTTTTTCCATTATTCCCTTCTATTCACTTTTTAAAAATTTATTTATTTATTTTCTGTATTTAGGGAAGGGTTTATAGGGTCTACAGCACCTCCCTATGTAGATCAGACACGTAGTTATACTCCTGTTTTCAGTATGCCAAGCACTAGGATTACAGCAGTGCACAATTACGCACAGGTTCAGCCACCACTTTAGCGCGCTCTGGGGGCGGGACCTGCATGGCAAGCCTGGGTCTAATCCGGCCGCTGCAGTTGGCCCAGCAGGCATTTTAGTTCGCTGGGCCATCAGGCCGGCCCTCCATTCACTTTTTTAATCTCTTCACTTTTCTTTCCTTTCCTCCCTTCTGTCTTCTTTGCTCTCTGCCCATTGGAATATGTTCTTTTCATTTCCCAGTATCGCCCATTTTGCTCCTTATTTACCCTTTGAATTTCTCACACAAGAAATACAATCTTTTATTTAAATTTATGAGCCTGATTTATTTCATATAAAACTATGGTCTTGAGATATATCCATTTGCCTAAATATGACTCAAGTTTATCCTTTTTTATAGCAGAGTGTTACTTTACTGTAAATGCAAATACAATTTGCAAATACCAGATTGTTTGGCTCCAATCATCTGCTGATGAGCATCGGGATGGTTTCCAGGAAGGACACCAATGAAGTTAATAGAAAATAAAAGATATCCACTATTCTTCAATGAGCAGAACCAATAGAGTGAAAGTGACCATGCTTCTCACATTGTTATACCAAATGAATACAATCAGAATAGCAACAGCATACCTCACAGAACTAAATAAAACAATCCCAAAATTTGTATGAATCCAGAAGACCTCAAATAGAAAAAGCAACTTTGGGCAGCAAAGAAAGCAGGGCAAATCATAGTCCCCAATTTGAAGTTATACTATAACATTTTTTCCTCGGCGGTTTGACTAAAATCAAGAGAAATCATACTATAAAGCTACTGTGATAAGAAAACAAAAGTGTTATTCTGACAATAAAATGAAATAAAATAAAAAATAAACAGACCTGAGAATCAGCTGAACAGAACAGAAGAGGCAGAATCAACTCCAAATGTACTAAGCTACCTTATCTTTACATAGGGGCCAAAGATTCTCACTGGAAGTAAGATAGCCTCTTTAATAAACAATGGGAGGAAACTTCACTGTCCACATTCCCAAAATTAAGATTAGATCCATATCTCTCACAATACACTAAACTGAACATCATATCTTAATAACATTGCAGGCCTTTGCTGACATTCTTAATAACACATAGACCTAGTTGTTTGCCTTCACTATCACCCGGCTCGGAGCTGCGGCCTATACTGCTTCTGGCAAGCATTGTGAGCGACTATTGTGCCGCATGGCTGTGGCCTTAGCCTTGGAATAGATCACATTTTAAAACTGGAAACAAGGTAGCTCAGTGGCAGAGCTCATACCTCATCTCTACAAGGTATTGTGTCTAATATCCAGCACCACATACATAAACACACATGCTCACCTCGACACACATAGAAGTGGAAGTATGGTGTCCATCGCATGCATATATTTGTGTGCCATTGGTAAATTGAGGATGTCTGTAATATAAATCGTTAATCATTAAATCAAATCACTGTAAGTGCAGTTGTCTATGCTTAGTAATTGCTCTTATAGTGAAGAAAGCAGTTCTGACTCTAGTCCAAGAATTGTGGTTGGAGCAGAACTCCATTCTTCTTGACTTTCAGAACTAAAACAGGTTAATATTTCTGAGCATTGAGTTTAACTCATATCCTATATGACATAGATATTCTTCTCAATAAAATTTCTGTAGGAATAAATGGGAATTCATAGGGTCATCAAGGCAGACAAAGATTAAAAAGGACAACTGTTTTAGTGGATGTTATGGTTTAGATTAGAAAAGTCCCTCAAAATCTCATGAGTTCAGAGTGGGACCTTGGGGATGTGACAGGATTATGGGAGTGTTATACTCATCAGTGGACTAATTCATTGATGAGTATGTAGCTGAATATGCTGTTAGTAAGTACGTCCTGTTTGGAGGTGGGTCACTAGGGCATCCCTAGGAAGGGTATATTTTTGATCCTGGGTCCTTCCCTCTCTCTTTTTCTCTACTTCCTATCTACTAAGGGGAGAGTAGCTTTCTCCTGCCTCTCCCTTGCATGGTCATCTTTCTGCCTTGGAGCCAGACAGTTGTGGACTGATCTCTCTGAAATTGTGAACCAAATATATCACTTCTCCTTTAAGGTGTAAATGTCAGATATTTTGACCCAGTGGCAGAAAGGGGTTTAGGATAGTAACAACTGGACCCCACACCTCATGTAACTATTATGCTCTGTGATGTCATCATCCAGCACACCTTTCCAATAACCCCAGAAAGGAAGAATAAGCTATATGTGTAGGGAAACTTCCTTGCCCTTAGTCCCTTGGGAAAAGAAATCCTTTAAGTCTTCTTTTTCTTTTACAGTATCAGACTTTATCAGTATATTAAAAAATAATAAGAAAGGCCTGTGAGGGCCACTCTGCTGGCTGATGTGGGTGACAACAGATTACTACCTGGAGGTGAAGTTACAACATACCCGTGTCAAGTGTTCATTATCTTCCATGATCAGTGAGAATACTAACTCTCAGATGATGCTGGAGCTCTGAAGGGAAGATTTCACTCTTGTGGTCTTCCATTTTTGGAATGAATATAATGTCTAGATTTTCTCTCACACTGAAATCAGTTGATTTCAACCCTTCCAAATGCAAGATATATCATTTTTAAGACTATCAGCAACCCTTCAGGAACTATCATTGAAAATATTACACATGTACAGTGTTAAAAAAATTGCAAATCGTATACAAAGCCATAGGCAAACTGTAGGTCCAAGCTTTACTTTTTGAAAATCACAATTTTGAATCTGTGTCGATATATATGAGAATTATCATGTCTTGCCTCAGCACAGTGGGCAGCAGGCTGGCAGGAATGGTTCCATCATCCAGACTTCACCCCATGGGCAGGAGCAAGATTGAGCTAACAGAAATTTAATGGTTTCCCTGTGTACCACTGCTGTACATAAATAGGATGGGCAACAGATTTATGTTTGTCAGAGGTCAAACTGGTGCTGAGAGGTAGGCACACTTGCTTGAAAATTGCTTTTTAGATCAGCTTTACCAAATGTAAAATTCATCTTGTAAATGCACAAAAGCATGAGCCATGTTCTCTTTGCTAATGGGGTTAATTATTTAGTTTATTGGATAAGGATTAATTTTAACCAAGTAGAATTGCAAAGGAGAGAATGAATATTAGAGAATGAATATTTTGCTAAATTGATAATTGGCTCTGGGTAATTGGATATTCTGAGACTTTGATGTTTGCTTTCTTCATTCTTTACTTGTGTTTGAATCTTAGGTAGGAAAAGTCTTTGATTTTAATACTTGTGAATGCTACTAGTTAGTTAAATTTTATGCTTATATGTTTACTAAGTTAAAAATAATAGAGAATAATGCAAGTACCCCAAAATCTGAGAATATGACACCTCAAAATTAAGCTTTGAAAACCAGGAAAGTCCATGCTGACATGCAGAATAAAGAACTCAGCATTCCACATTTGCAAAACCAGTTGGGTGCACCCTGTAACACTTTTTATGCTCTGCTGCTGAAGCAATGATACCTTTGAAAATATAAATGGGTAGTGTTTTTTATTTAGTTTCGTTGTGAACTGATTTGCAGCATTCTGTGTGAAGTTCAGGGTAATCCTATTCCTATACTTATGTGCAGTAATAGATTTCACCCTACTGATTTATTTAGTGACAGCTTGGCTGGGGTTGTACACTCAAGGGATCTGTTTATATGCAATGTGTTGCCTGTCACAGTGCTAATACAAAGTCTCTTTCTTTGTTAAAAATTTTTCTTCTGTGACACTTTTATTGGATTAACAGATGCTGCCATGTATTACATGGGGCCTTGGGCAAGAGGGAGTATGAAGTTCAAGCTGTGGTTCAAGGTGCACTGGGAATGGACTACGTGATCAAGAGGCGAGATGGTGAATGGGGGTTATCAGAGGCCTACCTCACGTGGGCACCAGCACAGATGTCCCCTTTTCTGAAGCAAAGCCCTATCTTCTACAGCAGTGAATAACTTTCCATTTGAGTAACATCTTAGTGCCTGACTGGTCAGGAGTAGAGCTTGATCAGTCAACAGTGGAACCTACAACAGAGTCTACACAAGCCAGATTTCCCGACACATGCATTAGATGTTATTAGACTGACTAATCATAAAGCTAGGGGATGAACCATCCACTAAGAGAAGGAGATGTATATTTGGCACATGACAGAGTAGTTTTGAAAGAGATCATTAAATTGCACTCACTGCCACAGCCTCCAGGTTACCCTCTTTGCTGTTCTGTTCATATTTGGGCCTGCTGGGTTCCCCATAACCTACTACTTGAGTGAGCAATAGAGACCTGGACTTGGCTGGCAAAAGAATCAGGAACTACACAAAAGTGTACTGTTACTGTATCACCTTACCCCTGAGTCTTAGTTACTTTTTACTCATTACTGGGACAAAATATCTGGCACCCAAAATTAAGGAAGGAGAGGTTTATTTAGCTTACAATTTGTGAAAGTTTTATTCCATTCATGGTGGCAGAAAACAACAAACCAGCAAGAGCAGAAGGGGAGGAGCAGAGGCATCAGGGGCAGTGGTGGAGCCCTCTCCCTTCCTTCCACTGCGCTCAGGCTCTCCATGGGTGTAGCACTCCCATCTGTAAGCACTGGTTCATGAATTAATCACAAACTCTAGAAGCTGCCCCATGACTGCATAAGGCTTTGGGGGCCAACTAGACACAAACCATGACACCAGGTAAGGGCGAAAATATCTGTGGAGAACAGTACTCTCTGTGGGGTGTTCATGTTATGTCACGTGGGGAGAACGGCAGCCGGAATATATATTCCTAAAATAGCAAATGGTTTGGTTAGTGGGTTTAGGGCTTAATGGTATAAACCTGAAAGAAATCCCTGTCAACAGGAAAGAGGAAGGAAGAACCCTCCAGTGATCACCATTTTTCAACATGAAGTTTAGTTAGCAATAATATACTCAAGCTGGCTTGGTGTTTACTAATTCATGGTCAGTGGGTAGCTAGGAATAATGGGAGCAGGGTAAGGTGAACATAGAACCTTTCTGTTCTAGTTTTGTCTATCAATCTTCATTTTTTTGCCTTAGGAAATAGTTGATTATAAAGAGACAAATGTACCCATAACAAAATGAATGAAAATAAGCATCATTTAATGAAAACATATTATTTGAGGATAAAATATATATGATTTATGTACTAAAATGCCCTAAATGAATCGTTGCATTTTTAAAATTTTACTTGGTTGACCAAGCACTGTGTATCCCCGTACTGCCATGATTTATCTTCCTCAGTCCACACACTTACGTACAAGTAATTTTAGCTCATGTTAAATGCCGTTCTAAGAAATAATGTTTTTATCAAAAAGTACACTAAAATTCTCCAGTGAGAAAGACTTGAATATTTCAAAGATAAGAGTGAACTGATCTTGTGTAGCGAAATTTACACTATACTAAATAGTGAGATTATCCTCAAAGTTATATTGTGTTTTCACTAAACCCAAATGTATAAAAACTGAAAGCAAACACAGTGGGTGTCTGTTACTTATTTCTCCTGTACACCTTTCTTCTTGAGTGTCAAAATACAGCAAAACCTAGGCAGGTGTACTCCGTTTTTGGCACATAACACATCTTAATTTTTATGATTTTATTGTATTGCTTGCCATTCACTCCAACTCTTTTTCCCTCCCCATTTACAAAGGATCTATTTGCATGTTTTCCCTTCAATTCTTTCTTTCTTTCTGTATTTTTTTTTAAGGACAATGACTGTGTAGAAGGAATTTAAGGAGAAACAGAAAACAATGGTTACTTTGAAACAGATAATATCTTTATGCCTTCTCATAAATTCTCACATGTTCCAAAGACTGATAATATTTTGATTAAATATTTTCTACTAAGAAATTGTCAGAGAAAATTGCTGAACCATGACTCTGCTCCCAAGAATCTGAAAAGCGCTCATCCTGCTGGTGTGAATGTGCTTTTGTCTTTAAGCTACTTATCTGATTCCATCTTAAAAGATTTGCTTTAATTCTCTTTCCTTTTATTTCTTGATCTTCTTGACTTTTTTCTTTAATTTACATCTTTATGAACCTTCTCTTATCATATGAATAAAATAGTCTTCTTCTTCAAATAGTAAAATTAGTAGAAAATCTTCTTGCACTACTTTTCCCTAGATACAATGATAGCCAGGCTTTCCAGAGAAAATAGTGGATTTACAGTTTCTTTTCTTACTTCTACAATAATAGGAGAAACTAAAATTAGGCTTCCAGATATGATTATGAATAATACCTTGCAGTGTGCAATTGATAATGCATTTTCATTATAAAACCAATGGCTTTATCCGCCTCTGATTTAAACTCTAGTGAGGTGAATTGGAAATACTCAGACTCTGTAGTGACAATTTGGCTTTAAATACATACTAATGACTGTGAACTGTTGGACAAGCCAATATTTGCTGTGCTTAATGTAAACGAGTAATATCTACTAAGCATAGTTTTTCATCTAGTAGAATTATTTCACGATTAATGTTAGAGGAGCTGTAGAGCATAGAGTGAAATTCTGGAATAAGAAAAAGCCAGAACAAGATGAAAATTCCTGGAGGGAGTAAAAACAGTCTTGAGCTGGGATTGAAGGAGGCAGAATAGTGGTTAGTTGCACTTTGGACAGAGGACAGACTAAGATGACACTGAAGCTGTTAAATGGACAGCATGTATTTGTAAATTTTAGGGAAAATTTATATACTCTGAAAGGCACAGATTGTACTGAGCAATTTGACAGATTTTCACACACATTTCTTCTATGCCTACTTCAAATGGAACTTCCTGCCTCAGAGGATAACCTGCATAATAATTGCCAACATTGTTGGCTTTTACTTATTCATAGATTTGCCATATATAGTATTATGAAATATTCACCTTTCTTTGTACAGAAAGGTATACTCAGCACCAAGTGAGATTCATTCATGATGCCAAATGTAATTGTTTAATTTATTTATGTTTTTACTGCTGAATAGTGTTTTATAGACCACATGGAGATAAAAGGAGAGAAAAAGATGAAAAAACTTGGGAGGCAAAAAAGAAAGAGAAAAGAAAAAAGAAATAAGATGTTTTTGTACAAGTACCAACTCCCCTAGATGGATACAAACACTAGGCACTGCAAACATGGATTAATAATATTTTCCCCTTTCCAATCTTTCATGGGGCTTTGATTGTATCTGGTTTGTAATATCAGTGAGTAACATTACTGAATATCCTTTTGTGATAATTTTGTGAATATTCCAAATTTCTAAGGGAAAATTAAGGGTGGAATTTCTGAGTCATATTATGCACTATATTACATACATTGTATAAGAAAATTCCAAAGAGGTTTTCAACATAGCTGTTGTATTATATATTAAAAGTAATAAGGGAGTTCAAATTGCCTAAAATATTTTTCCAACACTGTACAATAAAAGTCTTCAAATTCAATAGTTTGTATATGAAGCAATATGCTATAGCTTTGTATTTTCAGTTTTCTGATAGCTAAAGATTTTAAATACCATTTCATGTATTTATTGGTCATATATATAAATCCATCTTTTGAATTACTAATATATTTTCCTTGTT